TAGTGACTAAGGCTTCGTCCAGTGTTGATTTTGAGCTTTATTGCTTTGTGGTCCAATAGAATGCATGGAATTATTTCAGTATTTTTGTATTTGTTGAGGTTTGTTTTGTTCGTTTGTTTTGTTTCAGTATGTGGTCAATCTTTGAAAAAGTTCCTTGAGGTGCTGAGTAGAAAGTGTATTCTTTGGTGTTTGGGTGGAATAATCGAAAGATGTCTCTTCGGTCCATTTGATGTATCATTTAATTCAGACATCTCTCTGTTTATTCTTTGTTCAGTGACCTGTCTAATGGAGAGAGTGAGGAACTGAAGTCCCCTACTATTACTGAGTTGGGGTTAACCTGTGTCTTAAAGTCCTGTAGTGTTGTTTTTATCAATTTGGGTGCACTAGAATTTGGTGGCATATATGTTAAGGATTATAATATCTTCTTGGTTAACTGTTCCTTTGATCAGAATGAAGTGACCCTCCTTATCTTTTCTGATTAGTTTTACTTTAAGATCTACTTTGTCAGATATTAGAATTGCAACCCCTGCTTGTTTCTTAGTGCCATTTGCTTGGAATATTCTTTTCCATCCTTTTACCTTAAGGTAATGTCTATCAGTGAAGATGAGATGGGTTTCTTGCAGATAGCAAAGAGATGGATTTTGTTTCTTAATCCATTCGCTTAGCCTGTATCTTTTGACTGGGGAGTTCAGTCCATTGATATTTAAGGTTATTATTGAAAGGTGTGTATTGGTTGCCATCATTTTGATTGCTGTTTGTGCTCTCTGTGAAATTTTGTGTTTCCTAGATTATATCTTTATTTTCTTTTGTTGCCCCTAGGGTATAGTTGCTTCTCTTTCTCTGCTCTCTGTATTGCTTCAAGTATTCTTTGGAGGGCTGGTATTGTAGACATGTATTCTTTCAGGCTATTCGTATCATGGAAGATTTTTCTTTCCCCCTCACCTATAATAGACATTTTTGCTGGGTATAGTATTCTGGGCTGGCATCTATTGTCATGTAGAACTGGAAATACCTTGGTCCAGGTTCTTCCAGCTTTCACAGTTTGCATTGCTAAGTCAGCTGTAATTCTGATGGGCTTTCCTTTGTATGTGACTTGTTTTTCTTTTACTGCTTTCAGTATTCTCTCTTTGTTTTGTACATTTAGTGTTTTTACTATAATATGTCATGGGGAGTTTTCTTTTCTGATCCTGTCTATTTGGTGTTCTGTATGCTTCCTGTATTTGTATGGGGATGTCTTTCCTTAATTTTGGGCAATTCTCTTCTACAATCCTGTCTAAGATCTATCTGGTCAACACCATTAACCTGAAATTCTTCTCCTTCCTCTATCTGTTCCA